CAGCGCCCTGGCACGCTGCCGCACCCTGGCACGCTGCCGCACCCGGGCCGAGTTGACGCAATTTGCGCTGGCTGCCTGGCTGCTTGCGAAGAAGTTCCAGGAAAATCCCGAGTTTCGTACTCGTACCTCCCGAGCGTGGCACAGAGAGACCTCGATCTGATTTTGGCGGAGTATCCGATTCATCAAGCCTGCTCTGCTCCAGCATTGCTCCGCGGATGGATCAAGCTACTGTAAATAGTGTAGTAGCTGCCACTGTGGTGCCTAGAGCATGCCAAAGGTTCAAGGTCTGACACATTTCAACAGGGTTTAGGGCTTTTTGGGATCTAGTAGTTTAGGGTTCATTTGGGGGTTTTGCTTGGGGTTGAGGGTGTCCAGGGTTTAGAGTGGTTTAATGGTTAGTTTTTGTTTACAGTTTTTTGGGTGTAGGGGTCTAGGGTTTTTGGGGTTTAGGGTTTTGGGGTGTAAGGGGTTTAGGGTTTTTGGCGTTTACGGTTTTTGGGTTTAGGATTTGTTGGGTTTTGGGGTGTAGGCGGTGTATAGAGTGTAGGGGGTTTACAGCAAGTTGAGGGGTTTCTGGTTTAGTGCTTTTTTTAGGGTGAAGATTTTTAGGGTTTCGAGTTTAGGGGTTTAGTGCTTGAGGGTTTTGGGGTGTAAGGTGGGTTGGGGCTGAGGGGTTTAGGGTTTGTGCGCGTTCGGGGTTGGTGCAACCCTGAACCCTCCTACCTGGCCAACGACTCGAGTTGAATCCGACTTTGTATCCTGCACTCGGACCCACAGTGTGACCATGTTCCTGTTTTTGTTGGATTCGGTTCCCGGTTAAAATCGATGAAGTAGCAAGGAAGGCACGCTTATGGGCAATCAGGGCTTCGTTTCGGGGCATCGAGGGCTCCCTATACCCTAAACCCTAAACCCTGAACCCTAAACCCTAACCCCTAAACCCTAAACCCTAAACCCTAAACCCTACCTGGACATGGGAACGTAGTTCCTTTTTCAAGAAGAATCCGAAAAACATCTTTTTTTTAGTAGAAGGAAGAAAGTGGTTTTTTTGGTGAGTTTCAGGATGTCGCATTTTTTCAAGAACGGTTTCTGTATAACATTGTTTTTTCAAGAATGGTGTCCTGAGAATCAGAATTCACAAAAATGTGTGTGTATATATATATATATATAATATGTGTTTCTGATAAATCATGCATGCTTCTTGCTACATATATATATATATAGACATCTGCATGCAATGGCCCCAACAACAAAGTAGGCAAGCACCAAGGTGTTCCTCTCATGTTTTCACTTGGTCCACTTGAGCCAAATGTAGATCAGCCACTTCTCGGCTGTTCGCTTAGACACAGCAAGCGGATGACAAGTACGGCCCATTTGGGATGCCACTCCCACATAATCTTCGTCCATTTGGGTAGCGAAGCTGGCCGGGTTGAGCGCGTACTCACGCCCAGCACATCTCTGTAAATCCTCGTGGATATGCAAAAGATAATGAAACTTAGGAGTGATGTTGAAAAACAATTTCGCTTGCTGATGACAGAGTCTCGCAGCTTTGACATAGCTGCAGAAAAACTGCCACAGGAATTGTCGTGCAGACATCGCCTGTGCAGCAGTGAGCCAGATTCTGTCAGCCTGCTGGTAGCAGAGTCTGTGAAAGTCATCCATTGCTATCAACGCCAGCAGCATGCATTCCATTATCTCATCACGAAGCCATGGTTGCTGCAGGTAGTCAACCAGCCACTTGACCAGCAAACGGGTGTCTGACCCCTTCCTCAGACAGCACATTGGCTTCTTAAAGGTTTGGTGGGCTTCAGCCAGGTGTTACTAAACAAACTTCCAAATGAAAACGGCTCACCCAACAAAGACGAACTTACGACATGTGTAGACTTGTATCAATGGGTATGGGGGCTGCCAGAAAACAGGAGTTGCCATATTAACCCATGTTGCCAAGAAGTCTCTGGCATTGTGTTGCGGCTCTTCCATCCCAGGTTTTCCCGAGAAAATGCCTTCACATCCGGCGTTTCACATTGCACAAGTCGACAGTGGTCTTTGAAACACTCATATGCTTCTTTCAGGCGCACAGGTACAGCCACAGTGGGCGCATGTCCAGCTGTAAAATGGCCGATGTCCACCAAGTAGCATATGCAAGAGGCAATGAAGGTTCGTGTGATCCCAAGATGGCTAATGTGGAACAAGTCCTTGGCGACGAACTCTTCCTCATCACCACCTGGAAGACGATGGAGAGGGCTGCACGAACCCCACGGTTTCTGTGATCCCGTTGTTCTCCGCCATACAGCATCTCGACGATGATCAGCAAATGGAACATCGCGATCATCAGCCAAGCACCAGGGACACATTGGATTTGGCTCATTGGTGAAATTCCGCGCTGAATGCATGAGCTTTCCTTGCGCTGGTAAATCACCCTCAAGTCGCACAAACACCAGAAAGAATTGGCCTTGGCGGCTCTGCAAACCATTGTAGAAGCAATCATTTGCCTCGTCCACAAAATGCGAAGCAATGCCATCAAGCGTTCTGTTGCCAGCTGCAAAGCCCAGATTGTCATCCTGCATTTGGGTTTACATGTGAATGTAAACTTGTATAATTCGTATCTATAAGGATGCATATGTATGTATATATATATAAATACCATATATATATATATATACCATATATATATATATATCATGTCCTGGCATGCGTGCGATTCAACACGTGCACTCACACCCTCTCACTTTTGAATCTCCTTGCCTTTCTCTTATTCTGCCTGCCACATGTGTAGACATGGTTGTGGGTCAGTAAAGAATCAAGATGGTTTTGACCAGTTTATATAAATACATATATGTATATATACGTCTACATATATGCATGTCTATGTTTGTTTGCTTTGGATGTGTATGCACGAATATATTCTTGCTCCACATGAGACGCAACTCAGGGCAAGCCTTGTAGTGCTGAGCCAAGAGGCAGGTGTAAAAGAAACAGTGCCGCCAGCTGGCAGGGCCACTTTTGATGACTGGGCCCCAGGATTGCTGGAAGATGCCAGCTTTGCGAAATGAAGTGCCTTCGTCGCTATGGATGCGGCAGGGGATACACCGGTGTAGGTCATTGTGATGCACCTCAAACACCGGATGCTTGGGCCACGTGTGCCGGAAGCGCTCCCAGAAAGTAGAGAAAGTAGCTTGCACTTTCTCCAGCTGGTCATACCCATGCCCGCAGAATAAGATTTCAGGGTAATCCCGCAAGATCTCTTCAGCCAACTCTTTCACCGGAAGAACAGGCTGCTGGCACAGGCCAACCTTTGCAGGGAACTGGACCTGTTTCATTTGGACCTTTGTCTGCAGTGTAAACCCAAGTGCCCTGACATTGTTGAGGAACACAGTCTCCTTGTCACTCGAACTTCCAGAGGCGAGGCCCAATTGCACCAGTGTGCTCTGCCAAGGATCATGAAGACTCATCGTTGCAGCATTCAGCGACGCCATGCGCGACGCCCCATCTGCATTGTGTGCCTCAGATGCATGTATACACGCATACACACACATGTTCACGCAGAGTTCAGCGTGCAACTGCAGATACATAGGCCACATTGTGCAACTGCAGATACATAGGCCACATTGTGAAGTTGTGTACTAGACAGAAAAAGTAGGATACCATGACCGAGTTGCCAGATAGTGACTCAGCACATTCCGCACCACAGCAGCACCTGCGCACAGGACAGCCAATATACAAAGAAGGCCATGGTGTACAAACCAAGCGGTGGACTGAAGGTGCACTGGAGAGCAGTGCATGTGTGTTATCTCAGGGTGTAATCGGCACTTGCCTGTTAAGACACTGAAGCAAGTTGTTGGCAAAGGGCGATTCATGACCAGAAGCTTTGAAAGCAGCCCAGAAACTCAAGTTCAACATAACTGCCCAACTCCCAATAGACTGCCCTACCAACCCGAAGCCCCATCTCAGAAGTCCTTGCAGAAAGCGAAAGCAAGACTCAAGGCTGGCATTCTTCTTCACCCAGGTAGCGCACACGCGAGGACTGCTGGGCGACAATGAAGCATGCAGCCCATCTCAAACATATAGCAACTGCTACAGTGCTGCTACAGAATAAACTTATATGTCTACACTGCAGCATGCTCTTTGTGATGTATGTACATGTATATATAGGGACGCAAACATGTACACAGATAAGAAGCACATACATATATATACATATATATATATACATGTATATAAGCTGTCCATGTATATGAGCATTAGTTGGTCGCAAAGAATTGCACTCATGAGACTGCAAAGCTCCACACACAGATCACGCCAAAATTGCTGCACGCATGCAGCTGCACTCACTCATCTTCGCGCTTCTCAGGTTTGGCCTTGGCCTTACTCCTGGACTTCGCAGTAGCCTTGCGGAAATACGTCCTCAGACAATACATTTAAACAAAAAAGTAAAAGAAAGAGAGAGAGAGAGAGAGAGAGAGAGAGAGAGAGAGAAGGTGACAACGACGCAGAGAGCAGCTTGAGACAAAGAGAAAGACAGCAGCAAAGGGATGCAGAGAACAAGCATGTGAAAGTGATAGCAACGGGACGAGGGCAGGGGCGAGATAGAGCGAGAGAGCTAGATACAGAGATAAAAGAGAGAGAGTGAGTGAGTGAGTGAGTGAGTGAGTGAGTGAGTGAGTGTGAAAGAGAAAGAAAGAGAGAGAGAGAGAGAGAGAGAGAGAGAGAGAGAGAGAGGGAGAGAGATAGAGGGAGAGAGATAGAGGGAGGGAGATGGAGCAAACACACATGGCTGATTGCAGTTGACATGCATATGCTGCTATACATATATATATATATATGTATATATCTTATATATATATATACTTCTACACATACATGTATACATTTTCATATTCACAGGAATGCATATGCGTATGTCTATGTGTATATATATATAATATGTATATATATATATCTATTGAGGTGTACTCACTTGTAATGTCGTTGCACTCATAAGGCATGGACTTGACAATGTTCAGCTTGTTTGTGAAGCGGATCAAGGCAGCTTTGATCTGCTCGCAGATCGCGGAGTACTCATGCTTCGTCCTGCACATAGGTAGACAGTGTGCACACTGAAAACATGTAAGTGCACATGGAGCACACTGAGCTCAACTCAAACACATGCTGGCAAGAGGCTTGATTTTGGGATTCACTTCCATGTCGCACAGGTTCGCATAGAGCCCATTTATGGTATCTCAGTTGGGAGACAGGCACACTGTCAAGCTGCAAAACACGTTCGCAAAAACTTTCTCATCACATAAACATGATATATATATATAGATATGTACATAAACGACAAGGTGCCCATCTCTGTTTTCAGTTCCCCATAATCTTTCCTCGAAGGTGCAATAGTTGCAATTGACAAAAAAGCAAAAACACATGCAGCACACGCAGCGCCTGTGCACCCAGGCATTTATTCAGGGGAGCTTCTCATGTCCAGCGCTCTCCTCTTTCACGAGGCGCTCTGAGGTCTCGCGGAAGACTTGCCGCTTGTTCAAGCATGTCTTCTTGTACTTGGACACGAAGTCAGCCACTGACTCCTCTCCATCCAGCTCTGGCAAGCCAGCCGCCTTCTTCTTGGTAGGCTTTGCTTTATCTGGACCCTCATCATCTGTGACCTCCAGCAGGTCACCCACACCCACATTCACGTCGAAGTTCTCGCGGAGAGTGCCTGTAATCTAACGAGTGAACAGAGCCTTGCAATCAGCACATGTTGCTAAAGAGAGAAGCAGCCTGTGCTCTCCAACAATTCCTCCAGCTCCTTCAGTGCCTCCGATCCCTGCCTTGTGTCAGACAGCAAGCAAACAAAAGTAACGAGACATGGGCACACTGCAGTCTACATGCAGCAAAGGAGCTCGACTCGGTCAGTAACTTGCACAAGGTACTTTCGGCAGCCCTCATAAAGACACTTTTTGAAGAGCTTGTTGCGCTCACAGTGCGCAACAGCACCGAGGGATTTCTTCCTCACAACATAGACCCCAGCACTGCCCCAGCAAGAATGAACTGCAATGACTTGCCCAAGAGGAGTTTCATTCTTAAGATGAGCGAAAGAGGTGCATGTAAATATTTACATATATATGTATAACTCATTGGGCACCATGCATCATCAGCTCTCCCCCCTCTCCCATGTACACCCAGCTTAACCCTTGAATCCCTACGCAAGACCGTAAGGCCCAACAACCTAAGGGCCCTAAACCCTATACAAACATGCGATTGCAGGATGCCTCAAGTAATCAAGGTTGTAAAGGGCAAGCACAAGGCAAACGGCTTATATATATATATATGGATACATACACACATACATGCATGCATGCATGCATACATACTCACATACATACATACATACGTACGTACGTACATATACATACATACATAATATACACACACACATATATATATATATGCATATATTATATGTATACATACATGTATATATATATATATTATGTGTGTGTCACAGAGTATTCAGAGACACAGCTGCATGCATTCTTATGTCTATACATAAGGCTGCCAAAGGTCTCTGACCATTTGAGGACCCCCATCATGTCCGCCAGGGAGTGCCACTCGAAGCCCTTCAGGCTTTTCTTCCACTCCCTGCTCACTTGACGCAGCTTGTAAAGGCATTCCAGGCGTGCCTTAGATGTAGACATACTCTTGCATGGTACACCTACCAGAACTCAACATGCAAAGCAATACGTTGTGCACACATCACATCTTCAGCCCCAGAGCAGCATTCTCATGTGCCTCCGACTCAGGGTTGTAGCACTTCTGGATGAAGTCGCGAAGGAGCTTGTTCTTGGCATAGCCTCCTGGAAGCGAAAGGAAACCCAATCAGGCTTGAAGGTTTTGATGCCACACATGACAGCTTGTTTTGGTTTTGTTTCAAGGTGCATATATAACTGTGCAAACAGACATGTGTATATATGTATACGAATACAAGTTTGGTACCTTGATCCCATTGCTTCTTGATCTCTGCCCTGGTCTCATTGTTGCAGTAGCGATTGAGAAACCCATAGGCTTTTGGATGGGTTTGGCTGTTCACTTTCCTCAGGCCCAAATACATGCAACATGCAGACCCGATAACACCCGCACGCACTTTTTACTTGCCAAGTCACACTGCACGATCTGCCGGCTGATCATCATCCATGACAGACGTCGGCGTCTCCGTGGGAATCTCCGTGGGCTCATCAGCCTCAGGCACAGCCCCTGCCACCTTGGCAGCTGCAGGGGCTGCAGTCTTTTCTGCTGGCGCAGCTTGCGCCCCATAACCAGCCAGCCCAACCCCTGCCACCTTGACAGCTGCAGGGGCAGTCTTGGGAGCTGGCGCAGCTTGCGCCCCAGAACCAGGCAGCCCACAACCTGCCGAAGTTCCAGAACCAGTCATCGACGCTTCCCCCCTCTTTGCATGGTGCCTGCTTTGGCACGTCTGGCCTCCAAGCTCTGCTCCAGCAAACCATGCGCCAAGACATGGAACTCCTTGGGAAGATCTGACCACTTGTCCAATCCAGCCAGCGTCAGCATGCTGTCGTAAATGTTGTTCATAGCTCGGTCGATGGCCAGCGCCTGTGGGGGGATGCCACTCCCAGGTCCTGGCTCCGGAAACGCCCCACGCTGACGCGGAGTGCCCATGACCTGGGTGTCCATGAATGCCTGGTCCATTCTGGTAGGGGAGAACAATCCAGGCACCATTGCTGGCGGCATCATTGAGGGCGGCACCATTGAGGGCGGCACCATTGAGGGTGGCACCATTGAGGGTGGCACCATTGCTTGCGGCACCATTGAGGGTGGCACCATTGCTGGTGGCGCTTGTGGCACCATTCCTGGCGGCACCATTGTTGGCGGTACCCTTGCTGGCAGCACCGTTGCTGGCGGCACCATTGCTTGCGGCACCATTGCTGGTGGCATCGTTGGCGATGGCAAGAGGGGGGACATAGGATGCAACGGTGACATTGGCGTTGGATAACCTGTCGGCGCCAGCGTAGGTGGCGATGAAGGCTGCGGTGGCCCAGAAGCACAAGGGCGGGCTGGCGGTGTCCCTTGCAGTGTCGCTTGCTTTCCCTGCTCATACTGCTCGAGAAACCTCGTTGCTCGAGCTAGCTCTCTTGCCAAGTCCGCATTCTCCTTCTCAAGCGCAGCTTGCCTGTCCCCATCGCCAGCACTGCCACTGCTCATCGTGCGTTCGTCCACCATCTTCTGCGCCTGCCCACAGCCACCACTTGTGTCCACATTGCCAGAGCTGGGAGGCACCACATTCGCCTCATCAGGAGCTCCTTGCTGCGTGGCCCGGGCCTTGTCTGCAGAAGATATCTTCGGCGTGGGCATCAGCCGAGGCTTTCCATCGGACCCCATGGTAATCCTCGGACCAGGAGTCTCCGCCACTGCCGCGGCCCGAAATGGCCTGGCCTTCTGAGGCACTTCACTGCCATCTTCTTTGCGCTTCTTCAGGGGCGGG